TGTGGTTACCCCCATATAGGACATACATTTCAAAATTCTGACATGAAACCCTCTAGAGTCAAAACCCAGCTAATAACTCTTTGCAAGCACCATGAAGGGTTCAGTTCACACTTAATTCCCTTGGAGACTTCCTACTATTGACAGTATTAAATTACATTCCCAACCTCAAGACTAACCTCATGACCATCTACATTACAAATGAACTAACTAGTCTGCCTGGTACAGAAATACTCAAGTTACAAAATGAAACAGCAGAGAATGAAAAAAGCACACTTCCTTCGAGCTTTTATATAGCACCAAATTCAACAATGAAGACATTCCAATATTATATCCTTAAAAAAGGGCTAAAAAGAGTAAAGCATAACTGTGAAGAAAGGACCTTGGTCTCACTAAAGTCAACTCCAATACCCCTTTAATTAGAAATCCCAGATCAGACGGTACCACAGTTCTATTCTTTTCAAACTTTGCAGGAAAGCATTTTACCAGCAGATTGTTCATTTTGCTGACTAATGTAATTGGTGCTTCAATTCTTCCCAGTCAGTCTAATATCACGCTTTCTGCGGATTCTCACTGCTGCCGTTGGCACTCTCCCCAGCTTACCCACTTCCTTCTACAATGAGCTGGAACCCATGCAGTATCCCAGCCAATGCCTGAGAAGGCCTGACCTGAGAGTAAACATTGCTTCACATGCCTTACTAAAATGTATAAATAGAAGTATAACCTGTATGTCACATATTCAGCTTATTATGCCCTCCAAATTCTTTCCTTCTAAGAAACACAACACTGTCCTCTATCCTGTATTTATGTAGTTGATTGCTCCTGCTTAAGCACAGGCACAAAACTCTACTCATTTGTACCCTTTCCCATCCCACAGGTTTCTCAATCTTCAAAGCATTTTGATTTCCACTACCACACCCAAAAAGGTCTGCAATCCCTCCTAGCTTTATGCCTTCTTAAGTTTTAATAATCACATTATTTCATTTCGGAAACTCTGTGAAAATCATGAAGAGTAGCTGACAAGGGACTGGCCTCCTCAATCACAGCAGCAGCTGTTCCCAACTGTTCTTCCCCAGCAAAAACATCCTGAGAAACAGAAAACAGAAGTCCTATTAAAGACCAAATATAAGACATCAACTGATCCTCTCATACATAGTAGGCTTATCAGAGAAGTTACATTACTTAAACAATTTGTCCTTGACAAACCGATGCTGTCTTTTACTCAGCTATTGTATTCTAGATGCTTACAAATAGCTTTTGTTCCAAATTTTTTTTCATGAATTCAAAAGGAAGCAGACTAGTCTGCCAATCTGTAGTTCTCCCTGTCCTTCAAAAATTAGTAATAAAGACAGCCACCATGCTTCTGGGTTTTGTATCTTTGGTACCTCAGCCATTTCTAGAATACTACAGCCTTTTTTTTGTTGTTGTTGAAGTACTCTCAGGTAAAGATCATCAAACAGATTTGGAAAAGTTACATTTCTAGAAATCTTGGGTATTGCAGTTAAAACACTTGAATAACAAAGCAGCTAGGTATTTCCTTGCCTTACTCTGTATTTTGAACACCGTAATTACATCTGAAAAAAAATTGTCCCCAAGGAAGTTACCAAGCTATGAAAGAGACATCAAAGACAGTAACAGACAAAACTGAGCAAGAGCCTTAGCATACCAAAAGGAACATCTGTGCGACAGCATCTCCCACCTCAAGCTGCATTCACAACTCAGCGGCAAGTATAAACTGAAAGATGCCGTCTCCAGCAAAATATCAACTGCCAGTTCAGTAATGACCTTTTGCCTTTCTGTCAGGGAATAATTTGCTAGTTCCTCTCGAGTTTCTTCCATCACATTCCACTTGGCAGAAGAAAAACAGTATGCCACAACACCTGTGATAGGTTTCTGAAGCCTGCCCTATGCTGTTAAGAATCCTAAAGTACGACTTCACTTTACAGACATGATTAAACCTTCCCGACTGACAGAACCGCCCCGTACAATGAGCCCTTGACACTTCCACCTTTAAACAACAAAATGGGCTAACTTCACATTTTAGAAATCTTAGAGAAGAACAAGAGGCCAAGCAACAATAAAAATAAACCCTTCAGCCATTTTCGTATCCAGGTCTGTTTAATGTGTTGTTGGGGTTTCTTATTTGTTTGGTTTTGGGTTTGGTGGGGCGTGGGTGTTTTTTTTACTTCCTTATCACACATTGACCCTTGTAGCTCAGGAAAATAATAAGTATTTATAAGCAGACCAGAGACAGACAAAGAGCTGCTCTATCTCAGCACAGTGAGAAAACTATCTAAAGAAAAAAAATAGCTATGAACTGCCCAAGAAAACCGACCAAAAAAGTTATCCGATTGTACTATTTGGGAGAAATAACCTCTGAGATTAATCAAGAAAATGTAATTTGCATAGCTTTGTTCTCCTAAGAAACACTAGTCAGTCTATGTACTGATTAATATTTCATTAGTACCTGTAATTTCAACTATCTTGCAATGAAGAAAAGATTTTAAATTGACTAAATATTTGATTGATCATGTATCAATATCTAGGGAAACAAGTTTTGTATCTGCTAATGACAAGAAAAAAAAATAAAATGCTGCACTGACTCCATCCAAAATAGCAGTATTCTTTGATTTGGTGGGAGACTACGTTCTCCACAGAAGCACTAAATAAAAGACAAATGCTTGACCAAGGAACATGGAGATTTTTGTGTTCAAAAGCAAGCAGGAACGAACCATCAGTACAAAACCACAGGAAATTTATCTGCTTTACATGGTGCTGTCTTGTCTGCTAATAAAGGATATGAAGTACCATAGAGGTTGATGCTTTCATAGGGTTTAGGGGAGTGCTCTGGAAATAACACATTGAAGAAAACAACGTGCCTGGAGGAACTAAAATAGAATCCAATATGAAAGCTGCACACCTGCAACAAGAATCTAAAAAAAGAATAGAAATTGCTACCTGGGCTGCCAGACTAATGCACTCACACAAAACAGGTGTCAGTAAGGCAGTCAATCACATGATTACAACCCTAACATTGCATTAAGGCAAACTTAAGGCTATTTGGTAATTCAGAGCTTTTTAAAAAATAATTGGATTTTATCCCTTTCAGCAAATTCTTCTTTCAATTTCCCACACATTAATAGAGAAAAGTGAAAAGACTGACAAAGAAAAGAGGCTGCAGAACAGGTTAAATATAATCAGCTTATTTTAACTAAAAAACCACCTCTCTCTCATTTGATTATCCACTTAAAGAACCTTTAAACAACTGCTCCATGACTTCAGTTAAAACTGGAAATGGTTAACACATTCTTTTTTAAGATTATATGAATGCTAGCTTGAGTCACATCACTGTCTATATCTGACTTAGTAGTTGTGTACGATTTGCCATGTGTTCCATTACCATCTTCAATTTTATGGGCACGTCTCTCCATTGTTATGCGGTAAACAAAGGACAGTATTTAGAAGCAAGTGGCTGACTAAGAGCGGAACTGTAGGTGTGTTCACAATTAGTTTTCCATCCCCACCAATTTCAAAACAAGTCGTCTGGAGAAAAAGCATGCAGAGCTGCATTGCTGAAAGAAAGCCTGGCACAAAGCTCAAGCACGGAGGGAAAAGATTGCAGAGTTTAAACGAGCGCGGTTAGGGACAGAACCAGAATACATCGGCAGTCCCTCAATTTCAGGCCTTTGCAGTGAAGGAGTTTCCAAAACGCAGGAAAACCTTTCACGGTAAAATGTCGCTGTCAGCGCGATTCTGGTCTTGCAAACCAGACGCTGCCCCTGCACATAAAGGCCGTTAAAGCTGATGACTGTACGTCCGTTGGTCTGCAAGGCGCACAGCACCGAAGCGCACAGTCGCTTAAAGACACATCAACATGCGTGCCTTAAAGGTACGTGCCCGGGGTCCCTGCAGGAAGGAAAAAATTCGGGGCCGACAGCAGACAAACGGAACACGCCGATTCCTCCCGCCCCCCCTCGCCCCT